GGGGGGGGGGGGGGGGGGTGATATCGGTGAATAGAATAGTACTGGCGGCTGTCTGCATTCTTGTGGTGATGCAGCTCTCGACATTGGGGCACCGCGAACCTTGCGGCAACCATGATTTTACTGACAGCCATGGCCCCGTGGGCAGTTTGGATGAGGAGGTGATTGCGTCAGGAGCTGAGGTGTACAGGGGGCGTTTTGCGTTCCATGAGGGAACTCACAGATGACATTATGCTCGCAGCGCACACAACGAGCGGACGATCTGATCATCACCCTCTGCGCCCGCTTGCGGCTGCAACTGCGCAGGCGTGGTGTCCAGGCGAGCATGGCAAAATGTGCAGCTTGCAGGTGTCTGCAAACGTGCTATAGTCATTGTACTTGATGGGTGGAGATGGAATAACCCTCTGCAGCGTGTAACAACTACGTTTCTGACTAGTTGGGAGAGGCACGCACCATAAACGGAGCAGGCGCACCTCGAGACCAGTTTGCGGTATCAAGTCTTGGAGCCGATGGATCATTCTCAAAACCATGTGAGAATAATAGGTGGTTACGATACGTAGTAAAGTTCCTCCCGGTTCGGAGCGCGCGGCGCTACCCACATCTCAGGCGATCGCGATCAGCTCGTGAGGGATGATGTCGAACGGCGGAACCGCCCATTACACCGGCAAACGCCCCGAGTAGAGGCTTAGGCGGAATCGTTACATGTTGATAGGCATATGGGGTAGTACATGCAGGAGACGACGTGGGTACTTGACTTACGGGCAATCACCAATGAAGAGTGTGTGTAGGGCACTGATATCCAGACGGGTTCTTGTGGAGGTACTCTTGGTGATAGTCCTCTGCGTCAAACCAGGGGCCCGCGGGGACGAGGTCTGTGACGATCTTCTTGCCTGGCGAGAGATGAGGGGTGGTCAGACGTGCGTGGGAACGGTGGTAAGATGATCAGTGAGAAGATTGAAGGCCGAGGAAAGGGATATCACAGGGCCGGTGGTACGATAGTGTCAAGATGAACGCACCGAAAGGGTCAAAATGGGATTTTTGAATTTCGGCTGTGACGCGGGCGGCAGTCTCGTGCTGCTCCGGTGAGTGGTAGAATATGGCGGATCGGTACTCTGGGTGGGTGTCAGCGAACGTGGGAGGAGAGCGGTGGAGGAGACAGACGGGTCCCGTAGTCGTTCCCCTGCGAGTTTACGGTCGTTGGGTCGTGAGTCCTGTAGAAGAACTCTGTGCGGGGTGGTCACACACGCACGCGGTCAGGGGGAGGAAGAAGTGGGGACGCACCGACGAGCTGGGCATATGTGAGGATGCAGGGGTCGAATTCGATGCGGAGGGCCTCCGCGTGGCCAGTGCGGCCGGAGCAGACGGTCTCGTAGTCGGGATCGACGGCGTCGGAGCGACCGCCGATGTAGCCAACAGCAGTGCGGAGGATGCCTTTGTTCTGGGGGATGGGGTAGTGCTTGAGGAAGATGTGCTCGACTCCCCAAAAGCAGCCTGCGGCGAAGGTGGCGACCTCGGGCTGGGCGGCGCTGGGGAGTGGGATGGGGGGCGTACCGGACATGGCGAGTGCACTGGCCGGGCGGGTGTTCTGGAGGACGGGTGGGTGCGGAGTGCCGGTGAGGAGGGCGGAGAGCGAGAGACGGAGGCGGGTGGCGGCGGCGAGCATAGACATGCTGGCTGTGGGACCTTACCAGGTTGCTGTGACAGGACAGTGGCCAGTGTCGGCGGGCGGGATGTCGGGGGATCCACGTGACCCCGTGTTCCGCGTGCCCGCCCGCCGCGTCGCGTGTTGAGTGGTTCGTGCAAGTGTCCGGAGTCGCTCCGCTCCGCCGTCGCACCTCCGGGAAGCTGAGTGCCCACCGTGTCCAGGAATGGGCGCTCGCGCTGTCGGAGTCGGATCCGGCGAGGTGAGGCCCCGCTTGGGTTCCCAGTCGGGTTGAGATATTGTATCAGACGTCTGTTTTCGGGATGCAAGCCGACCGAAGCCAGCGCTGGATCTCATCGGCGTAATCCACACTGAATCTGTTCCTATCGCGCCTGGCGGTCAGCTGTCCCGGCGGCATCTCAGTGTTCGGCCTGCCCCTGCACGAGGTTATCGACCTCAATCGCCCGGTTCAGTTAGTGTCCATCCACGGGCGGGGGCGGCCCGCCGTTCATCCCCGCGCGCACGCCGCTCTCACCGCACGTAATAGTCCAAGACACCCCTCCGAACCACAGCGCTCCTGCCCTTCTAAAAGCACGCTGTCCGCACTGACCCATCCGAACCGTTCTCCTCCCAGGTCCGCTTCCCCGGGCCTCTGCCACCTGCCCTCCCCGACATGCTCGACGTCGCCCTCGCCGCCCTTTTCTGCGCATGGCTCGCCTGCTGCCTCCTCGTCCGCCGCCCCGCCTCCGCCTCCGCCGCCTCCCGCTCCTCCTCCCTCCCTCCCGGCCCGCCCCGTCTTCCCGTCGTGGGCAACGCCCACCAGGTTCCGTTTGCCCACCAGCACAAGACCTTTGCCGCCTGGAGCTTGTCCTACGGTACGCCGCTGCCCGCCGTCTGCTCTCCGCGCCACCCGCTGACCCCTTCCCTTCCAGGCCCCATCATCTACGCCCAGTTCCTCAGCACCCGCATCGTCATCCTCAGCTCCGCCCAGGCCGCCCAAGACCTCCTCGAAAAGCGCGGCGCCATCTACTCTGACCGCCCCCATTCCGTCCTCCTCCACGATGTGTATGTTCCTTCTTCCCTTCTCCGCCCCCGCTGACCGCCCCCAGCATCGACTACATGCCAAATCCCGTCTGGCTGCCCTACTCCCATCAGTGGCGCAAGCAGCGCCGCTGGTACCACTCCGTCCTCTCCCCCGACGTCTTCCAACCCCTCCAGCACCGCGAGTCTCTCCAGCTCGTCGCAGACATCCTCCGCGAGCCCAGCGCCTTCATCTCCCACTCCAAAAGGTGCGTCCCTACCCCGTGACTGATCCTCATCCACCGGTCCTGATCGATCCCGACATCCGTCCCCCCCCTTCCTGCTCGCCATCGTGCGCACAGGTACACCGCCGCCATGATGATGGAGGTCGCCTACGGCCGCTCCGTCCCTAGCTCCCACGATGGCTTCCTTGCCCTTGTCAACTCTACCCTCGAAGGGCTCGCTCAGCTCGGTGGCCCCGCCGCCACCGTCCTCGATTTCATGCCCTTCCGTGCGTCCATCCCGTCCTCTCCGTCTACTGAACCATACACTGAACTCCCCCATGCCCAGTGCGCCATATTCCCACCTGGTCTTGGTTCCCGGGCTCCAGTACCAAGCGCCACGCCCTCTGCGTACGTGCCGGCATCCAGGCCATGATGGACATCCCCTATCAGAAAGTCAAGACCGACATGGTGAGCGTCCTCCGTCTGACACGCGCAGCTGTGCAGCGCATGTTCACCCCTGCATGCGCTGTCCGGTCTCGCCTGGCCCCGGAGTGTCTGACAGTCTTGTTGCCCAGGCTGCGGGCAAGGCAAAACCGTCCTTCCTCCGTATGCTCATCGACGGCCAGCCCATGGCTTCGACCGATGAGGAGCGCGAGATGAGCTGCGCCGCCAGCATGATGTATGCCGGTGCGCCGCGTGTTTTTCTCCATCCCGTCCCGCTCCAGCTCATCCACGCATTCGTTTGCCCCTCGCAGCCGGGTCGGACACGGTAAGACTCCCCTTTCCCCATTCACCACCGCATATACTCATCTCCCCGTGACCTCTAGACGGTCACTGTGCTCCTGACCTTCATTCTCGCCATGGTGCGCCACCCCCGTGTGTTCGAAAAAGCCCAGGCCGAGGTGGACGCCGTCGTGGGACGCGCGCGCCTCCCAGTTTTTTCCGACCGCGCGGCGATGCCATACTTCGAGTGTGTCCTCCGCGAAGTATACAGGTACGTGCCCCGCGCTCATCGCGTGGCCGCGGCTGATCCCCGCCCAGGTGGAACGCGCCCGTGCCGCTAGGCGAGTCCCCCTCCGCTTCCTGACCTCGCGGCGCTGACAGTCGCGCGCAGGTGTCCCGCATCGTGTGATGGAAGACGACGAGTACGCCGGGTACCGCATCCCCCGCGGCGTCATGGTCCTTCCGAACGTCTGGTGCGTCCTCCAGCCCACGCCGCGCGCACCCGCTGACGCGCACGCAGGATGATGACCCGCGATCAGGACGAGTATGGCCCGGACGTGGACCAGTTCCGCCCGGAGCGGTTCGCAGAGATGAGCGCGGAAGAGATGGAGAGGAAGGATCCGCGGCGGCTCGTGTTTGGCTTCGGTCGGCGGTGCGTGCTCCCCCGCCCTCTCCCTCACCACACGTGGCGCTGACGGCGCGCGCGCACACACGCCAGAATCTGCCCGGGGCGCCAGCTCGGCGACGCGAGCGTGTGGCTCGCCGCGGCGC